CCCCCACCCGCTGGATGGCTGCAGCAAGACTGTCTTGATGATATCAAAGGTCACTTCTCTGGCCCCTCAGCTGCTCTGCCCCACCAGATATGCAGCCAGTACCCTCATACCTCACCTGTCCAGCTGTCTGGTCAGCAGCTTCCCAAAGGCCAAGTCACATCTCATGATTAAATCACTCGCCTCGAGTGACTCACCCATTGTCTATCTCTTATAATACAGAAGGAAGTAGATCTCCACCCAAGGGCTTCTTCTCCTTCAGTAGAAGGACAAATTTAGATTTTGTCTTTCCTTTCCCAGCAAAATAGAGAGGAGTTGGCATTTCCCTTATTATATTCAAAGCCCTCTGAGATGACTCAAAGATTAAGTCTCAATTGTGCCTTCGAAAATTGTTTACTTGCAGTTCATTTTCAACACCTAGTTGAACCATGTCCTTGAGTATTAAAACTACACATGCACAAGTTTTTTTCAGTCCTTACCCCATCCACTCAACGTCAGAAATTCCAAAACAAACATTTTGTTTGTTGTTCTGAGTTTGACATTGACATTCTTGGTACCTGTTTGGGAGCAGAGTCACCATGTACACTGTCCTACAAAGCAGGCTGCCAGGAGAGTCTCCTCCCAACACAGGCTCCACTCCCTCCTCCCTCCTCCTTTCACTTTTTTTTTGGGGGGGGGAGATTCACTAAAGACTGAGGAACTTCCTGGAGTTCAGAAGGAAAGCAAGCATGTCCCACAGGTAAAGAGGAGAACCCCAGAGCACAGAGACTCCCCTATTTTCACAAAGAAAGAGCTGGAAGAGGAAGCCAAGCCAGGAAGATTAGGGGAGGTTTCAGACAGTTCATGGAAATAGAAGCAAGCCTTTTTCTGGTCTCAACTGCTGACTAGAAAACTATGTTGCAAAGGCTGGTGTGCAGAGATATCCTGGGATGAAATAAAGCAATGATGTGGTCAAAGAATAGGATTCTAGAACTTGAGGAACTTGTTCTGCTAGTCACTTATCAGGTATATAATACTTCTTCTCTGGGCCTCTATTTCTTCCTCATTAAAACCCACCTTTCTGGATTGTTGTGACGATTAAAGTGCTTAGTACAGTGTCTGGCATGCAGTGAGCACTAGGCAAGTGTTTGCTATTGTAGAGTGTGCTGAACCACACACCCTGCAGGGTGGAGTCCTAACTGCCACCTATTGGCTGTGTAATCTTGTGAATATTACTTCACCTCTCTGAGCCTTGGGTTTCCTCCTCTATGAAATAAACTCAAGTCCTAAGACTTGATGCAGAGATTAAATAAAATTAAATGGGATAATTGTCACATCCACAACCCAGATGTGCAAGAGCAGTTGTGGAGAGGGCAAAGAAAATGCTTCAAAATGACATGTGAGACTTGTGATTTATTAGGGAAAGCTTACAAGAGATCAGTGACAGCTCCAAGAAGAGTTTAGTGGCAACAGGCTGACAGTGGGCACCTCTGTTTTTTGTCTAGAGGCAGCCTGCTAGACTTTCTACAGAGCCCTCTCTGTACCTGTGCCCACTCAGAGTGGGATTTTATGTGTTAGGCTACAGAAGCAATGACATCATCAGCATTAGCTTGCCTAGTTTGCTTGTCTGACCAGTATCCCAGGACCATCTGTTCTGGTGCACATGCAAGAAATTTCTTTCTACAGATAACACTAACTTGCCCCAATTCCCAGTGTGTATAAGATAGCTGGTGTCCTTTAAGATATTATGTGTCTGGACTTTCCAGCCCAGGCTTGCTCTCATTACTCTCTTAACTTGGCTAGGTTTTTGGGGAAAGAAAGGGGATATTCAGGGACATAGTGTTTTACCATCCCCCTTTTCTCTGAGGATGATACAATAATGTATGGAATACTAAATAGTGCTTGAGACTCAGTTGATGTCCATTATATGCTAATTATTATTATTATTTCTATTATTTTGTTGTTATGTGTTTCTCATTAACTCTAAACTTGCCCTCTGTGCTCCTCCAGGGTAGTTTATTCCAATTCATCCCCCAGCAAAAGTGACTTTTTTTTTTTTAAAGGAAAACAGACTCAAAATATATGTGTAGTGGCATCAAGCATGTCAGTGGTGGTCTAAAGCCAGGGTAAGAAAGAGGGAGATTAACCACAAATGGGCACAAAGGAACTTTCTGTGATGAGAGAAGTTGTGTATATTTTGACTTGTGGTGGTGGTAAGCATCTTCATATGTCAAGACCTATCAAACTGTACACTTAATCGGATGCATTTGTTTTTATGTAAATTTCCCTTAATATTGTTATTTGGGGGGGGAAGGTAAGGGGCTCAGTGATAGAGTGCTTGCCTGGCATTTGCAAGGTCCTGGGTTTTGTCCTCAGCAATGCTAATAAAAATAAGAATGAGAAGGTAAGAAGAAAAGGTAACCAGCCTTCCTGATCATCTACTCTGCATTTCCTGTTTTCCATGGCACTTACCAGAACTTATCAGTATATACAATTATTTCATTCATTTCTTTACATGTATTGCCCAATTCTTCTCTCCACTAAAATATGAACTTTTGGGGGACAAGGTCTCTGTCTTATCCACCAGTATAACTCCAGAATCTCTAGATCCATGCCTGGCATATAAAAGGAACCCAATAATTCTTATTGACAGGCTGATTCAAGTCCATCAATAGTTATTTCTCCAAATTCAATGCTGATTTCACCCATTCTCATCATTCCCACTTTCACCCAGAGCACCATAGCCTCTTGCTTGGTTATGCAATCACCTCCTTGTAATTGTGGGTCTTGTTGATTCCGCCAGTGTCCTCTCAACGCAGTCTCTCCAGAGCCCCCATGATACTCCTTGTAAAATTAAACCAGATTACCTTACTTCCCTGCTTTTGTAATGATTAAGAAGCTGAATGAGTGAACAAGAAAAAGAAAGGCAATTTAAATCTCTATGAAAATTTAAGAGCTACAATACAACAAAGGTCATAATCCTAATAAATAAAATAAAAATGTAACATTGGAGCAGATATGAATCTCAGTCCACAAATTCCAAAAATATCTCAACTATTAATAATGAATTGGATGGGTGGCCCTCAGACCAAAATAATAATAATAATTCTACCTGCACAGGTTACAACTTAGTAACTGCTGTCCCAGTCTGTGTGTCTCTTCTATCTGGTGAATCTATGCTGCCCTCCTGTCAAGCCTGATGGTACACACGAATCTGCTCTGAGGTCATCCAGGGTCTCGTCTGCCTAAACACACAATGCACCTGTTGTTCCTTGAGTCCTGCCACCCTTCTAAGTGCTTTCAGAAAGTGAACGCCAGTCCCTTAAGCTTTGGAAACTCCAAAACACCCTCTTCTCTCATTAGCCAAAGTGAATTTCCTTGACATAGAGGAAGGGCCCTACTTCTCCGAGACATTGTACGTACCCTCAAGAAACACCACCTTTTATTTCATTCTCCAAACTCTGTAATTTCTTTAAAAACATATTAGGGTTAGGGGAAACTAAAGCTGGAGAAAGGGCAGGAAATTTATGTGTACTATCCTGTCAAACATGTCACCCTCAGTGAAGTATCAAATTGGCTACCTATTTGGGTGGGAAAATGGGAAATTAAAAAAAAAAAGTGGGAGAGTGTATAAAAAAACAAAGAGTAGACTGGGGTTGTAGCTCAGAGGTAGAGCGCTTGCCTAGCATGTGTGAGGCATGGGGTTCAATCCTCACCACCACATAAAAATAAATAAATTAAAATAGAGGTATAAAAATAAAATAACATTATTTTTTTTTTAAAAAAAGGAGCAATGGAAAAATGTAAATTAGTTTTTCAGAAAACTACCTAGCCAAAGTTTCTCCCTAGTAAAACCTTTGTTGCAGATGTTGACTTTTTTTTCAACCCTCTCAATAGCATAGAAGTCTGAGTTTTACATTTTCCTGGGTAGTTAGCATTGTGACTGACTCCCCAACCTTTCCATTCTTTTTTTTAAAATTAATTTATTTTACAGTAGAATGCATTTTGACACAGTGTACACAAATAGAGCACAACTTCTTATTCCTCTGTCTGTGCATGGTGCAGAGTTAGACCAGTAGTGTAGTCATCCAAGTAAACAGGATAATAATGTCTGTCTCATTCTATTCTCCTTCCCATCCCCACTGCCCCATCCTTCCCCTCACTCCCCTCTACACAACCCTAAATTCCTTCATTCTTCCCTGTCCCTCCACCCCACTATGGATCAACATCTACTTATCAGAGAAAACATCTGGCCTTTGTTTTTTGGGGATTGACTTATTGCACTTCGCATGATATTCTCTAGTTCCATCCATTTACCTGCAAATGCCATAATTTCAGTCTTCTTTAAAGTTGAATAATATTCCATTGTGTATATGTATCCATTCATCTGTTGAGGGGTACCTAGGTTGGTTCCATAGTTTAGCTATTGTGAATTGAGTTGCTGTTAACATTGATGTGGCTGCGACACTGTACCAACATTTTTATTCTGTTCCATGATTAATCTAAGCAATTCATGGCAACTTACTCCACATCAGTTATTGGTTCACAGATGGACAAGCCTGAGCCACTTTGGGCCAGTGGGATTCAAGGAGAGCCTTGATGAGGGCTCTGGGAAGGCCAGTTGCTCCATCTTGAATGCCATGGAAAAGCAAATGCGTTCTTCCCTGTAAGTTGAGGATGAGAAAGCACAGAGTTCCCATTGCCACTGGTAGTCAGTCACAGCAATGAAGGATGAAACCGGAACTGTGAGAGGCAAAGAAACAGAAAGAGCCCACCACCTCAATGCCATCATTCAGCCACTGGGTCCTGTCCTCACGCTCTATTGTTTAAGCCAGTTGAGTTGGCTTTTCTGCTACGTGTTGCTCAGTGCATTCCACCTGATTCCAAATTTGGTGCCAGGAACAGAAGGATTGTGAATAATAGAGAGGAGCGGGTTGCATGGTGATCTCCCAAAGATGTGTCTACATACTAATCTCTGGAACCCATGATTATTACCCCTTATTTGGAAACAGAGTCTTTGCAGATATAATTAAGTCACACTTTATTATTTTCAAGTTCAGTCAGATGTTGAAGAGACACAAGTTGAAGACTTTTTAAAAATAAAATATCACATTTGACCTTTATTATCTGACCATTCATCAAATTCAGAAAAGGCTTTTCAACACACCTTCATATGACTCAGCAGTTAAAGGCTTTTTAAAAAAATTTAGTTCCATTACTTATTTGATGATGATGCTAATTTCAGAGATTGATTCTATTGTAACAAAAAATAAAAATAAATAAATCCCTGAACTGGGAATCTGAATCTGAGTTTTATCTCTGTCTTAGCACTAAGTTAGGGACTTGGGAAATCATTTCCCCGTCTGAGCACTAGTTACCTTCCTAAGGAACCACCACTGCCTCCCAAGTGTCTCAGAATCATCTAGGTCCTTGCTATAGATATATTTCTTTTTTTATTTTTATTTTTTTTAGTTCTCTGCAGACACAAGGTCTTTGTTTGTATGTGGTGCTGAGGATCGAACCCGGGCTGCACGCATGCCAGGCGAGCGCGCCACCGCTTGAGCCACATCCCCAGCCCTACAGATATATTTCTGAGCCCTTTCCTGAGTCTTCTGGATCATATTTTCTGACATTGGAGCCCAGGAATAATTGGGTAATTATCATGTACAACTAAGTTTGTACAGCACAATGATCCCCAGGGTCCCTATAAATATTTGTTTTCTGATTTCTATACTTTCTCTCACTTTCTGGTCTCTGCTACAAGACATCATGCTGAAACAAAACACAAAATAGACAATAAAAAACCAAGACCATGATTTCATCATTTTCATAGCCCCCTCCCCAGCATCTTCACATACCAGTGCCTGGTATGTAGTAGGAACTCAATAAATATTTGAAGAATTAATCAACGGCTATTAAATACATGAATGTTATTTCATGTGTATCCCAATCACCTACCAATAGAGAAATTTAGAGAAAGAAAAACTATTTTAAACTTTTATAGGATATACTTCCACACTTCCTGGCTGCCCTACTGCACCCATCAGTAATGGGTTATGTGGATAAGGCTAGCACAGAGTCAGAGACCACAGGAAGGTGGCCGAGATTCCCCCACGGGTTAGATTATCCCATGGTATTTCCCGGAGGCGGTGACGGTTTGTGATTCAGCAGGAGCCAGTTTTTCCCTGCTTGATTTTTTCAGATCTAGAAAAACTTGTCTCCTGCCTGGGTGATGCATACCCTTGAGGTCATGCTGTAGATCTCTAAAGGCCACCTCAAGTGTCTGGGGCCCCCAGTGATTGGGAAGAGGCAGTCATCTTCTGTTGGAAGTCACTGGTAGATTTGCTAGCAGTGAGTGTCAACCTAGCAAGGTGTCCATAGTGGATGATTCCCCCAGGATGTCTGATATCACCGCCTGTGACTTCACAGTCCTTTATCCCACCCCCTCCTTTAGGCCACCTTCTGAGCCTCCCCAGCTCAAACACTGTCTGCTGGCCTTGGAAAGTGCCGGCTCAGGATGAAATCTGTCACAGAGGTGGGAAACTTAGCCAGGGGGAGGTAGAGGAGTTTGGCATCCAGGCCGGGGTTGTAGCGGACGCGGGGGCTCCGGGAAACGATGGCGTGCTCCATGCTGTTGGTGACATCCTTGATTCTTGGCTCTGCCAGCTGCATCATGTTTTTCAACTTGTTGGTATCTGTTTGAGGGGTGGGGGGTGGCAATGAAAGGTTCTGTTATTCTTCATGAAAGATGAAAGTTTCTGTTATTTTTCTGAATTCTGTTCAAGCTCCCTTTCCATCAGATCCCTGGCCTAACATTTCAGGCAGGTTTTCACACACACATTTATAAGATCATTACAATTCCTCTTATTTGTGTTCCTCAATTTCACAGTTGTGCATTGAATTCTAGTGACTGCAATGAGAAGAGCTGTGCCAGTTCTTTATATGACGGTGCCACTTAGAGCTTAAACTTTCATTATCTGTAAAACAGGGATAATGCTACCTGCCTTGGAGAATAGCAAAGATGATTGATTAGTAGCAGGCTACGTGATCGGGTAGTGGGATTCCTAGGCTTTTTTCATTTTTTTTTCTTCACTTTCTAGAGTTTCCATATTTTCTACAAAAGCATGCAGGGGGGAAAAATGTTGTTAAAAATAGTAAACCAGCTGGGCAAGGTGGACAGTGGGAGGTGATACGAAGCACATCCTTCCATTGTCCTCTCAAATATTTATTAGCTCTTATTTTGTATGGACACCTGCTGGGCATGGAGTGGAAAGGGAGACACAAGTTCCCATCTAGCCCATCACTCTCCTAGATGGTGGGGAAGAACATGGGCTTTGGATCTGGACACCTGGGGAAAAGTTTTTCTTCCTGAGAGAATTAAGCAAGAGAGTTTATAAAAGAGCAAGGTCCAAACTTTGGCATTTCGGCCACAACAGTTGAACTTCTGACCCCTATTCTTTGCTAGGGACAGGTCCTAGTCTTCATATAGACTCCCCAAGAAGTAGGGGATGGGGCTAAAATGGGAATTTTGGGGGAGGGTATTAGGGATTGAACTCAGGGGCACTCAACCATCAAGCCACATCCCCAGCCCTATTTTGCATTTTATTTAGAGAGGGGGTCCCCCTGAGTTGCTTAGTGTCTTGCTTTTGCTAAGGCTGGCTTGTGAACTTGCTATTCTCCTGCTTCAGCCACCTGAGCCTATGGAATTACAGGTGTCCATCACTGGGCCCTACTAAAATGGAAATTTTTGATGTCCTCCCCAGCAGAGTTCGGAAGAGAAAAGACATTAGGTCCTTGGCTATCCCCAGCAGCAGCAGTGGTAACCACGCCTGGTTGAGGCTCAGCTTCAGGCCTGTTAGCACAAGAACTGTGATCTCTATTTCTGTGCTTGCCCCTGTGATTCTAAGCATCACTTCTTTGGGAATGTGCTCCTGTCAGTTGCTATCAACAAGTCATCCATACAGTTCTACTCTGGATATCATTAAGAACAACTCCAAGAGCTGTGTACATTATCACTCACATGTAATTCCAGATACTTGAGAGGCTGAGGCAGAAGGATTACAAGTTTGAGTCAGCCTGAGCAATTTAGTGAAACCCTGTCTCAAAATAAAATTTAAAGGACTGGGGATTAGCTCAGTAGTAGAGCACTCGCCTAGCATACAGCAGGCCCTGGATTCAATCACCAGTACCATGCACACATGCACTCATGTGCGCGCACACACACACACACACACACACACACACACACAAGAAATCTGAGGCATGTCTTGGAGTTCATAAGCTAGGGGCCTGTTTGGTTAGCCACAGCAAGTGGTTATCATTTGTCTAACACAGCACTGTGTGACCACTCTTGAATATCTCTTGTGTCTTACTATTGGCCCCCCACTTCTCATAACCACCATGATGTGTGACTTCATGTCTTCATGCCACACCTTGCTCAAAGCTATTTGAAAGGCTAAGATTCACACTCCTCAGTGTAACCACCAAAATGGTCTTTTAGGCTCTGATCCTTAATCTATCCCTGTCCCAGTCTCCTACACACTTCACTTGTGCCAGACTAGTAATCATAACAATGCCTAAGGTCTGTTGAGCTTGTTCTATGGCTTAGAGGAGTACTTTACATTTTTGTTTCGTTCTATAGTTTTTGAAGGAGGAATTATTATATTTTTTTAAATGATTAAGCTGAAGTTTAGAGAGTTGTGTAACATGATCAGAAGGACTGCTGGAGTCCAAATTTGGAATCACACTGCCTGCAAAGGCATAAAATGCGATCTTTGTCATATCATATTTCCAGATGTCATGCCTCCAGATGTTGCTCGTGCTTCTCTGTGGGAAACATTTGCTGTCTCTTTCCCTTTTATGAACTCCTGTTCATCCTTCAAAACTCTCTAAGGCATCCATTGTTTCCTCTTTGAGGCTTTTGTGACAGAGGAATTAAGTCTCTGTTCTGTTAACGTTGCTTCGCTTGCATGCCCACTATTGATTCTCTGCATGGTGTTGTATTTGCTTTTGGATCTCCCCTGCCGGGTTCTCAGAGGCCTGTCTCATCCCTGTAATCACTAGGTAACTGAGGTGAAAATTGAGAGTATAACCCCCTGGGAAAATGTTTATCTAAAAGTGGTTGACACCTGCCTGAAAATTTTCCTCTGAAATCATGGGGTGGACTACAAATGAATCAGCCTATGGATTTCATAAGCCCTCTCCTTATTATTCTTCAGCATAACAATACCAGCTTTGTGACAAGTAGTTTTCAGAGGACATTTGCTTTCCTGCAGATTCCGTCATGGACAGCACTAGAGACTCTACAGTCCTTGCCCGCACTGAGGACTTACTTAGGAAGTGACTTTATGTTCTTTCCAGACTCTGGCTGAATCTATGCTTCACCTAGCTTCACAGCAGCCCATAAATGACTTGGACCACTCTCTGCCCAGGGAGTTTTAGGGGGAATCACACAGAGAATTTACAGTACATTCCCTCCCCCACTAACATCCAGTCCTTTTGTTCCCAACAGCTGCAGACTTCCCTTTGGGGATCCATGATTCCCTGGCTCTTGAGTCTTAGGTCTAGGTAGAGCATATGACCCAGCCTGAGCCAGTAGGACTTTCACATTTCCCTGGGCACGGAGATTAATTCGAGGTTGAGAACGTTCTGCAGTTTCCTCTGATCCAGCCGTCCAGATTAGAATGAACTTTAGGATTTTCAGGGAATCTTCTAGAAAGAACTGTCCCCTGTTCTCAGGAGACCTCACTTTGGAAGGAGGTGAGGAGATGCTGTAACCATGAGGTTTCCAAAGCAAAGAGAGTTTGTGAGTCTAGAGTCACAATACAAACAAGAAGAACCAAGTAGTAGGGTGAAACCAAGGCCTAACGGTGTCACTTTGGAGCTGGATTGGGTTGTGCCTGGAGTCAATTTTGTTTAACTTTTTAGTCATGTGGGTCAAGGAATTCTTTTCTCCTTCAATAAGTTTGGTTGGATTTTCTGTCACTTGAAACTGAGAAAGTCCTAACTGATGTAAATCCTTGGGACATTTTTTTTTTCTCCTGGCAGAATTCTAATATGTCCAGAACCAAAAGATTTTTTTTCTTTAAGGAACACTTCTCCAAAGATCTCTTCACAGAGTCTTTCCTAATCAACAGGTAAATGATATCCCCATCTACCAGGTTCTTCAGCATAATCCTAGCACTCCTCCTTGAGGGTTCCCTCTCGCTCTTCCCCAGTAACCGCTAGTCTAATATACACCTGGCATCCAGCAACTTCTTTCTACATCCTCTACCTCCTCTCTAGTCCAAACCACCATCTTGTCTACCTGGAGGAACACTGCAGCAATCAGAGTGGTCTTTCCCAGCTATAGATCAGATCACATCCTTATTTCTCAGTGTGCTTTAATGCTTTAATTTATTTTGTGCCCTTCAGCTAGCCCTCACCGCTCCCTACCTGCTGGCTTCCTTAAAGTCCCTCCAAAGGAATGTCCTGCCCCTGAGCTCTCCTGCAAAAATCCCCCTTCTCAGCCCCTTTTCCACTTTCCAGCAATGCCTAACTCTAATTTTTTCTCAAGGTCAACTCAGAGAAAATCTCCCCATGCCATAATCCGAATTGGGGTTCCAACTCCCATCCCTGTTCTTCTTTCATAGCGTTGTTTTCTCTTCAATTGCACTTAACCACAATTTTTCATGAAATGTGTGTGCTTTTTAATAACATTTGTCTCCCCTACTGGGTCTAAAGCTACAGGCAGTAAGGGGAAAGCACACTGCTTTGTCTGCTCCAACTTCTAGTTCCACACAATACCTGGCACATGGCAGCCTTTCTCTGAAAGGTATATTGAGTGAAGCGCTTTCTTGGTTTTTGTTTCTTAGCTTTTAATTCTGTTGATGTGCAATGTCCAGGACAGCATGTCACTAAAATAAAACTTTCTGCAGACCTGCCATGGGTTTCATTGCATGATAACATTTAGCCCATTGCTATAGTTTCAATCTGGAATGTCCCCCAAAAGCCCATGAGTCAAAGGCTTAGTCCTTAGCTTAGGAGGTTGTGACACTAAGACGTGGGTCCTTTTGGGAGGTCTTTAGGTCATTGGGGGCATGACCTCAAAGGAGACTGTGGGACCCAAGTCTCTTCTTCTTCCTCTTTTTTGCTTCCACAAGGTGAGTTGTTTTGCTTTGCCATATGCTTCCTCCATAATGTACTGCCATAGGCCCAAAGCAACAATGGAGCCAACTTGACTGTGAACTCAAACCACTAACACTGTAAGCCAAAATAAACCTTTTCTTTTTATAAGTTGATTGTCTCAGGTGTTTATTATAGTAACAGAAAGCTAACTAACACATCAACGAAATTTGGATTATAATTTTGGATTATTATAATTTAAGAATCTCTTTACAGTATAAGAACTTATATCTTGTAGATACCACTGTAATCAAATAAAGGAAATCACACTTAGTCTAAGGAAAGATAATAAAAACCACCACAAACTTTTAAATCAAATTTTTTTACCAAGCACTAGGAACTACTCTACAAGTGTGTGTGTGTGTGTGTGTGTGTGTGTGTGTATGTGTGTGTACATATATATATGTATATATACATATATATTAAATGAGAATATGTACATTCTCATAAGTTATTACAGATGTAAAAATTAAGAAAGTAAGTAACTTGTCCAAGGCCCGCATCTGCAAAATCTACATCCATGCCGGCTAGTTCCTAACTACAACAGAAAATTGCCTCTTGGGATGATACATGGAAGTAAGGTAAAAGAGAAAAAGAAAAATCTGGGTTAGGGAAACATGAGACAAGAACATTGAGGCCTAGAGGGAGCAGGAACTGGACTGGGTGCATGGCTGCTTCACTCTGGACCCAGGGACGATTCCTAAGGCAGCACAGAGCCAGCCCTACACTCTTGGCTGGTGGCATCATCAGAGAGAAAACTGGAGAAGGGAGATGGCTGCCAAGGAGGTGTCAGCTAATTACACCAGGCCAGGTGCTACTGACAAAGGTTGCCCCACCCAAGGGCAGCTACAGAGGGGAGCCTGGGGCCTGCTCTCTCTCCAGGCCCTGGGACTTGTGAAATGGAGAGACCTAGGAAATCAGTGAATCCCACTCTCCTGAAACCAACTGGCTCTTTGAGATCAGATTCTCTGAGTGAATGTGGGGCACTCTGGTCCTCAAAATGACCTTCTCTTTTCTACCAGCAGACACATCAACAGACCTTTTGGCCCATTCTCCCTCCACTGCACCTTTAGCCCATATCCTCTCATGTTCCCTAAAGCCTGAGGCTCCATTCATCCCCAAACTGGACAAGCTGCACAATGTTAGGCAGGATGGTAAAGAGCTGAGACCTCCTCCTTCACCCTCCCAAGCACCTAAGGTTCACAGGAGATCCCTAGCTCAGGAACATAAGAAAGTTTCCTAGAGACCTTCCTTTCTAAATACCCATGTGCTCATTTTCCTCTTTCTTTTTTTAATATTTATTCTTAAGTTTTAGGTGAACACAATATATTTATTTTACATTTATGTGGTGCTGAGAATCGAACCCAGTGCCTAGTGCATGCTAGGCGAGCGCTCTACCACTGAGCCACAACCTAGCCCATCATTTTCCTCTTTCTATAACAAGTACCTGGTGCAAGACACTTCACACATATTAATCCTCACAGCAACCCTGTGAAGTAGGCTCTATCATTAGCTCCATTTTCCAGATGAGAAAACTGAAGTACAGAGAGACTAATGAATTTGTCCAAAGCCTCCAAGCTAGTAAGGGAGTAGAGCCAGGACTCTGACCCGGGCAGCCATGCTCTTGATCACTGCTCTATATTTATCTCAGTGCATTTTCACCTGACTCAACCTGCTCAGTGATATTCAAGGGTAAGTGCCAGGAGTAGGCAGCATCTCTCTTGACTCCCCCATGAATCTGCCATTTGGTCTCTATTCTCAAACCCCAGCCCTGATGCTAGTTGTATGGCCTCAGGCCCTGAGTCCTTCTGAGCCTCTTTTCCATCATCTGTAAACTGAAGGCCAGTCAGCAACCCCCAAATTTCCCTTCCCCTCTCTGAGACCCCACTCCCTCGGGGGAACTCACAGATGCGGAAGTATTCTTCTCCGTAGCTATCCCGGGTCTCTGGAGGAAGCCGTTCCCACAGCTTTTGCATGCGTATCTCTAAACCCTCCTTTCCCAGAATGGATGTCCGGTAGTTCCCTGGCTCAATGATGCTGACCTTCACCCCAAAGTAGTGGAGTTCACGCCTGGGAAATTAGAGTTGCATTTGCTCTGGGCCTCATGATGACAGTCATTAGGGAGATTCACTTCTGGAAGGACTTGTCTTACCAGGAACCTGGAGGTCCCCCCACTCCTGTGCAGCTGTCCCAGATACTCACTGCCTTCATGCAAATAACCCTTTCCTAAGCTGGTTCAGCAGTCTCTGGGCACTTTGCATAAGGCAAACCCCATAGGGAGGAAGTCAGTGGAGGATCTAGGCCAAGATCTTGCCTTCACCAGGTCCTTCCCACTCTCAGCCCCATGCTCAGCACCATACCTGATGAAAGGGAGGTGGTCTATACAAGGCTTGCATCCTCCTTCAAGGGTTTATCTCCATTCACCTCTTCTCCTCATCCCTTCTTCTCTTGATCTTTGGAGAACATCTAGCCTCCCTCTTGCTACTGCTTTAGCTCCCTTGTTCCAGAACTGCCCCGCCCCCATGCTGTCACCCCAGCCCTCTCTTCCTGAATTAAAACACCCAAGATCCCCACCCAGGTGGTGTTACCAAGGCCCAGTCACCTGATGCTGTCAGAGAAGGCTTCAACACCAAACTTGGAGACACAGTAACCACCACCAATGACCGCTACACGACCACCAGAGCTGGACATGTTGACCACCCTGCCTCGGGCTTTCTTGACCATAGGTAGCATGTGGAGGGTCACGTCGATCAGTCCCACCAGGTTCACGTTGATCACCTTCACAAAGTCTTCCTTGGTCAGCCATTCGTTGGGACCACTGGGCAGGCCCACACCAGCATTATTCACCAGTGCCCAGAGGCCTAAGGATGAGAGGAGAGAGAAAGAACCACACAGAAATCAGTGTCTCTGGGAAAGCACCAGGGACCATTACCCACCTGCTCAGGGCTACCTTTTGGCCGAGTAGGTGTATAAGACACTAGATGGCATGGTTTGGAGCAGGGGTGGGAAGTTACAACAGCCGGAAAAATCATATGCCTTTTACAGACTCATGTTCCCTTGAAGGGGCACTTTTTTCTGATTAACATAGTCTATCAACCGGCTCTGTACCAGTCACAACCCAGGCTGCATGTGGCTAATAGCACTGAAGCTATTAGCTCAAAGATAGGAGATACCATTTTCCTACCAATGAATTCAAGTCTGAATTCCATTGTCAATCAGGCTTCCTTTCTCTATTCACCTAAGTGTAAGAAACCAACTCCATTTCACCTATTACCAAAATCGATTCACTTATTCATTCATTCATCCTTCACACATCTATTCATTCCTACACATCTACTCTGTGCCACTTAAAAGGTGAAGGAGACAGAAACTGAACAAGACAAGGTCTTGCCCCTCAAGATGGCAATAAATGCTAAAGAAAAAAGTCAAACAAGGCAGACCAGAGAGAAAAATGTCATATTTATAAGTGTATAAAACACTTGAATAAAATACTCATGAGAAATGTGAAAAGGGCTCTCTTTAAATTGGGTTGCACATGAATGGAGAAAAATTATGGTAAGTTATTTAGGCCCAACTCTGTAGGGCCTCAGGACTGGAGAACCTCAAGATCTAGGCCTGCTTCTAACTCCAGGCCTTGGACAGACGGCTTCCTGTCTGGGCCTCAGATTCTTCGTCAGACTTCAGTAGGGAGATTGTTCCCAGTCAGTCCCAAAAGCCTGGTGGGGGAGGGAGCTGCAGGAGAAGCACTCCTTTGAGTTTTTTAGTAGAATTCCACTAGGGGAGCATAATACTAAAATCACACTGAAAAAGCCCCTCAATGACCTTCAAGGGCTCCTTCTGGCTTTTTCACCCAAGGATCCAGGGAACCCTGGCTACTTCCTTTTCCCAACCCCATTATACCCCAACCTTGACCAATATCTCAAGGTACTCTGCCAGCACAGTCACTCGCTCCTGAGGGTAGATCTGAATGTGAACATCAATCCTGGCCACCTTCCCCCCAGGTCCCCACCTAAGCCACACCCCCATTCTCCTGTTTTCTTGCCATTTGAGAAACTAAAGGAGATTAACTGATTGGCAGAGTTTGGAATCTTTCCAGCTGGGGGAGACTCTGGCCTTACAGAGGAGAAAATGAGGTTGCTGAGACCCACAGACCATAAAACCCCAGTGGTCTCTGCCTGTGGAAAAGGGACACACAGCACTACTACCTCTGATTGTCCTGGTAAATGTCTCCAGCAGAGGATGCATTACCTGTTGGGGAACTAGGATAACCTTATTTTTACCTATCTATCTATCTTGGGCTGGGGTTGTGGCTCAGTGGTAGAGCACTCACCTAGCACGTGCAAGGCCCTGGGTTTGATTCTCAGCACCACATAAAAATAAACAAATAAAATAAAGATATTGTGTCCAATTACAACTAAAAAAATAAATATATATATATATTTTTAAAAACGAGTAACCAGAGAATAGTCAGAGCAGGGCTAACAGCTTTAGAACTGTGCCAATTTTATATTCAGGGACACTCAGGGGCAATAAGAAAGCATGTAAGAATTGTCTCCCCTTCCCCACCCCCAGTACTTCGTGCTTCTTAGAGTAAGAATATTGCATAGGCAGAATAATCATCCCCCAAGTATTAGTATTAGGTTCCTAATCCCAGGAACCTGTGGCACATGGGCTTACATGGGAAAGGAGAATTGAGGTTGTAGATGGAATTGAGGTAGCTAATCAACTGACCTTAATTGGGAGATTATCCCAGGTTTGCCTGAGAAGCCCAAGAGAATCACAGGAGTCCTTCTAAGTAAAAGAAAGCAGAAGCCAGAGAACCAGAGAGATGGAAAAAGGGTGAAGGATGCAGGCCAACTTTGCTGGCCTTGAAGATGGAGGAAGCAGCCATGTGCTAAGGAATGCAGGCACCCTCTAGAAGCTGGGTAAAGCAAGGAAATGGATCTTCCCTGCCCCCAGACAGAGCATAGTTCTGCTGAGCCCTTGAATGTAACCTAATGAGACCCATTTTAGACTTGTTTCCTCCAGAGTTACAAGATAATAAACATGTGTTTTTAAGCCACTGTGTTGTGTGAATTCGTTATAGCAGCAATAGGAGACAAATACAGCCACTGAGTCATGAATGCAAGTGGCTTGAGGTGGAATGTAAGGAGCTGGCTGAGGAAGCCTGGCAGAGAGAAAGAGGCTCACTCTTGCTAAGGATGTGTAGTAAGTAAGAGACAAAAAAGTTCTGTTCCCAGGAAACTAGCACAGGAAACAATCAATAAACAAGAAAAATAAGTATTGCATTGTATTGGATGGCAATAAATGCTAAAGAAAAAAGTAAAACAAGGAGCTACTGTTTGGCTCCTCCTGGGTTCCAGGGTTCTGTTGCTCCCACCTGGACTGAGGCTCTAAACTCATTTCCTTGGGAGTGAGGACTTCCTCTGGGTTTCTGTTTCTACTACAGAACTATCCTGTTCCTCCCTATCCTGCACCCACACCCTGTGTGCTGGAAGTTCACTGGGCAGAGCCCCCCATACTCTTGGTCCAGCCCCAGCTCACAGCCTCCTTTCTCAATGCAAGTAGCCACTCAGATGTAGGCACCAACCTCCATGGAGAGGTAAGGAAGAGATCTGCCTCCCCGCTGCCTGACACAGTTAACCACAGAGAATGCCCCCGCTCACGGCATCCAACCTCCTGTCCCCTTGCCTCTGCCCCTAGCCTGAGCACTACAAGAAATATGCTTGAATTTCTATAGGAGATGGTAGGACTGCTGACGTTTCCAAGAGGCCTCCGTCTTGAGAGGTTTGAATATACAGAATACGTCTTTCCTCCCTTGCTTCCTGTCATAACCTCTGCCCTGTCCCTGAGTTTCCGGGAGAGAACCCTTTCTTGGGAAATCACCTCTTCATGTGAACAGGACAAACCATGTAGTGCTTTCCAACCTGACAGAACCAGAGCCCCCAGCCCCAGTTCCCTGCTCATTCCCTACATCAACTCTCCCACCGCCTTTGGACATCAGTGTCCCTAATACTGTCAGATGATGAGGAAGCAGGGAGGGAGGAGGGGGAGACAGAGAGATGCAGAAATAGCGTAAACTGAGAAAGCCAAAGAATGCTGTTTGCCCCACCTTGCTCGCCCACTTGGTCCCTCACCCACTGGGCTGCTGCCTTGATGCTCTCAGTCTTGGTGACATCCAGTAGGATGGTCTGCAGTTGGTAGGAGGTATCCTGTTGAAGTTTCTGGGCTCCCTCCTCAGTGAGGCAAGCAGCCAGCACTCGCATACCCCGATCAACCAGCTGTCTGGCCAACAGGTTCCCAAAGCCCGAGTCACAGCCGGTGATGAAGACATACTTCTCTGAGAGGTTGCGAACAAGATTGCAATTCTTGAACCAGCGATACATAAAAGAGAGGTCCGTGAGTGCTGCCATTGAGCAGTGGGGAGCTGATGGCAAAGAAGAACAGGGCTCAGGAAACAGCAGGAGAGGTTGGTTCTTAGGTCCCTGGTGACAGTCTGCTGGAACTCACAGGTAAGGAGAGCTTCTACTACTTGCAACAGATGCAGGGCCCTGCCTAAGATACTCTGTCATCTTTATAGGTGGATACATCACCACCAATTAGCCAAGATGCAAGAAATTCAAGTCCAACCTGAAGCATGTCACCTCTGACAGCTCTGGTGATTACCTCCCTCTCTCCCCCTGCCCTGATGGGTGAAGGTGCCAAAATGGGAAGGTCCCCAGTGGCAATGTGGGTGCCACAAAGAAGTTCACCTGGATGGCATGAGAGGGCAAATAAGAAAGGAAAACTCAGCCTAGGGACCCCTGCCCTGTATAGGGACCCCTGCCCTGGAAAAGCCCCACCCCAATTCCCCCTCCAGCCTAGGGATCAAAATCATTTGTCATGAGTACAGGCATGTGTATAAATCTAACTTTTATTTTCAGGGAAAGCATTAAGATGAATTCATGAATTCAAAATAAAATTGGGCTATGCCCTCCAAACCCCAAGAGAAATTGAAGCCCAGATCATCAACTCTTTGGAGATCTTAAGTGAGTCTCCATCATCAGAGATGATGAAAAACAAAGGGTTTTCCCAGGTGGTGTGCCTCCATTGTCCTGAGGCCAGAGGAAGCTGGGCCCTCCCATTGCGGGGATATGGATATGAGGCCCCACCTACCAGAAAGCAGAAAGACCTGAGATACTCAGGGCCTGGCTTGTGGAGTGATACTCAGGTCATCAGCAAGGAGTCCCCACTGCCTTCCAAACCATTTCAGAATTCCACCCACCCCTACCAATGAAGGGAGCCAAAGACAGAGGGCATAGCAGCTCCCTAACCAGGAAGGTATCTTTCGTTCACCCTCAGGACTTTATTTCAGTACTCTAGGTGATCTGATGAAACACGAAGACTGAAGGTGGGGTGACAGTGGAAGGGAACTCTGAAGCCAGGAGACACAGTGGCTAATTGAATGGAAGTTAGGAGTCAGAGTGATTTGAAGGTAGGGGACCTTGACCAGTAGAACCACAGGTGGCAAGAGAAGCCAGTAGGCGAGAGTTGGGCATGGACAGGAAGGCAAGGAAGGGATCATTTTGATCCAAGCATCACTGAGCCTGAGGTTCAGGCAGATGATGGAAATGCATGGTTAGTTCACAGGGCAGCTGTGGAAAAGGCCTGGGAAGAGTCCTTGGCTCTGAGAAGGAAGAGGCACAGGAGGAGGGGAGGACTATTCTATAGGGGGCTCAAGACTTGGAAAATAACAAGGTTAGGAATTGGAGAGGAAGGAGAAATTCTAGGCAATGGGGCAGAGAGCTCACAGAAAGGCAGGAGGGAAGCTGGTAAAGCAAAGGAATAAGGAAACCAGGTAGGTGTGTGTATTGAGGGGGCCACACCCAGGATTGCATAAGAAGCAAGGACAGAATGATGCTGGAGCCCAGGGTGGTTTCTTGGCTCAACCTCCAGGGTCACCTTTCATTGGGATGAGCCTGGTCACAGTTCACACCTTTCCTGTTCCAAGAGTCTGACACAGAAATAAACCACAAGTTCCCGAGAAGGAAAGGAACTCGGGTTTTAGCTCTATGTTGCACTATTTACCAAATCTGGCCAGCCCCCAAAGCAGATAAAGCAGGTGTCTCATCTTGGTTATTCTGAACTGAGGATGATGGGAGTACGTGTGGAGTTAGATCACAAACCCATCTCTGAAAAGCAGACCCAAAGCACATAGATGATGGAGGAGGGAGTGGTGGCAGGCAAACCTGACTTACTTCATACCTTCCCCACAGTACAGCGGATCTGGAAAGCATCCCCCAGTCACTTTTTGCCCAGTTATGGCTGGGAAGACTTAGATAATATCCCCCAAGTGCTGATCAGGCCCAAGGACAGTGAGCTTCCCTGTTTTTGAAGATGCAGGTGAGATCTGGGAGTTGGCTCTGGCCTTGGAGAAGGATAACACAGAACTGGCCCAAAGCAGGCCTGGGTCTAATCCAGTCATTTCCTGGAACTTTCTTCCTGCTAACTGCTGGCTAAGGCAGTATTCTGCTGGGTTTAAACTGAAAAGGCAGGCACTGGAAGCAGATGGTGTGAGGGCTGGGGGACCACATGCTAGGATGTGAATGCTTCCCACTCCCAGATGACAGGGGACCCTGATGAGCTGCCACCTGAGGCCCAGAGAGAGTCTTGTGGTTACCCTTCCACCCACTCCATTCCCATAAGGAGAAAAGCCTGTACCTCCTCCAGCTCATTTTCACCTGGGTGTACAATGTGTGTACACACTAGGAAGTGGGCTCAAGGAAGAGCAGGCAAGGACTGAACCCTGCCCATGATGCTCATGCCTCCTCAAAATGTATATTCCAGGATTGGGGTTGTGGCTCAGTGGCAGAGCACTTGTCTTGCACATGTGAGTTACTGAGTTCGATCCTCAGCACCACATAAAAATAAATAAACAAAATAAAGATAATTGTGTCCATGTATAACTAAAAAAAAAAATCCTTAAAAATGTGTATTCCTCAGTGTGGACGGTGGGCCACGAGCCTCAGAGCCTTGAATGACTGCTCAGAGAAATAGGATGCCAACATATGCAGTCAGATCTCCATTTCTTGACTGCAAGAGATGATTCATTCTTCATAAAATTCCCAGAGTCCTGACTAATGTTCCAGGAAAAACTTGGAGCAGAGGTTAGGAGGGGTGGGGGTTGACTTATGATCCTGGAGACTTGAACTTATCCTTCCTATCACTCTATTTTCCACTTCATGACACATCACCTTCACCCAGCACCCCAACTAGACCCTTCCAAGCACCCAAGTCTTGGTTTCACAGATCTTGACCAACCTTGGAGAGTTCCAGAAGACCATGGCTTCCACCAGGCAGGTGGGCATGCAGTTTAAGGTAAGGTAAGGGAGCTTGGTGCCCTAGTCAGGTGAGTACTTGGTGTATATGGTAGTGGTAGGGGAAACAAGTGGTCAGTACATACTCCATTCAGTCTGTCATCAAGGACAGATTCAACCTGCTTTTGTCAAATGTTTTCAAATATGTTGAGGTCTGCTTAGGATGAGAAAAGGTACTGAATGTACTTGCATATCCCTTTAGTTCCACTTAGATCTCTAAATTAGTAGGAAAGTTTCTAAGAATTACTGGCCCACAATGATATGCCCCAGACCTAATCTATCCACGTTTCCTATGAATGACCCAAAACTTACCCTAGGAACAACTATTTCACACTCAGACACATCTGGCTGTCATTCTGGGAATATCTTTGTTGCACAAATTGAAGGTCTCTGCCAACAAAACTATGAACATGAAAATCAGCTATCTTCAAACCTAACTATCTGGCCATGAGTCTACCATGTCTTCCCTCTCTAGCTTTAGTTTATTCTTCAAAATGTTGAGGGTTTAGATGAGATAGTGCCCCCAATTATAATAAGCTTGTATTAGGTGACCAGCTGGCCACAGCACTATAGGATGGGGTTAAACAGCCTTACTTTATGGGTGAGTCAGAACATGAATGATTGACCTTAAAGGTGGAGGTGCAAATGATGAACCCAAGTTTCCAGATAAGAGTCTGCTTCTGTCCCCACTGTGTACAGTTCAATCACAAGATACAAGAAACTTCTCACCATAGATTCTCCCTGACCTTTGGGCTAGTCCTGTCCCATGCCTCCTGTAAAACCCCCACAAGCCTCACAGTGTTGGTTTTGTTAGTCTTGCAGAAGCCTGGTTCAGTAATAGCCAATTTTACCCCAAAAAGGAAAGTTCCCTGTTGCAAGACAGAAAAGCAAATGGCAAGGACTTCAGAGACCTTGGAAGGTGTGTCAGTTAGGTTTTCATTGCTGTGACTAAAATTCATGACAAGAACAACTTACTTAGAGGAGGAAAAGTTTATTTGGGCTCATAGTTTCAAAGGTTCAGTCCATTGTGGGCTGACTCCATTGCTCTGGGCCTGAGATGAAGCAGAACGTCATAGTGGAAGGGCATGGCAGACAAGTTCCACTCCACTCGTGGCAGCCAGGAAGAAGAGAAAGTGGGGAAGATGAATCCTTCCAGGGCAAACCCCCAGTGACCCGCCTCCTCCAGCCATGCCCCACCTGCCTACAGTTACCACCCAGTTAGTCCATTCAGACTAGGATGGGTGATTATGTGCAGCTCTCATAATTGAATCATTTCATCTCTGAATATTCCTTCAATAACACAAAAGATTTTAGGGAATATCTCATATCCCAGCCATAACATTTCATCCCTAGACCATCTCACAATGCAAAATGCATTTATGTTTATCTTCAAGAGTTTCCATAGTCTTAACAGTCCCAGTATAGCCCCAAAGTCCAAGTCCAAAGTGTCATTTTAGATTCAAGTCAAACTCTTGGCTGTGAATGGTACACCACCTTTAAATTCAGCTTCACTCAATCTCAGAACTTGGGCAAAATGAAGATAAGTTCTTTGCCAGAATATAACACAATGGTCTCTAACCCAATTTTCTATAGAGTCCCTATTCTTCTCTGAAACCAGGGGAGCACAATCTATACTGCCTGTATTCCTATTAGCATTCTGGTCTTCTGAGTTCCCACTAGGATTGCCCATTAAGCTCTGTATAAAAGATTCCAAGTCTTCTCCATCATGTGTCGACAAACTTTTCCAAACTCCTCCCACAAACCCTTTCCAAAGGCTTCTGAACCACATGGTCAGTCTAGTCACAGAAATGATGTCACTCCTTGATACCAATTTCTGTGTTAGTCAGGTCTTCATTGCTGCAACCAAAATATATGACAAGAACAATTTAGAGGAGAAAAGGTTTATTTTGGCTCATGATTTCAGAGTTTCAGTTCATGGCTGACTGACTCCATTGCTCTGGGCCCAATATGAAGTAGAACATCATGGTGAAAGGGCATGGTGGAAGCACACTGCTCCACTAATAGTGGCCAGGAAGAAGGAGGTGGGGAGGGGACTGCATGGAAAATGAACCCTTCTAGGGAACAACTCAATGACCTACCTCCTCCAGCCATACTCCACCTGCCTACAGTTACCACCCAGTTAGTCTATTCAAACTAGGATTGGACTAATTAGGTTACAGCTCCCATAAGCCAATCATTTTACTT